TCATAGTGTCAACAAAGCTTCTGCACGCCTTTACAGGATTTACAGGTCTCCACAGGGGCAGCAGTGATTGAAGAAGCAGCAAAATGCCCCCACCAAGCCGAACTGGCCCCAGGTATTATAGCAACGCACCTGTCCTCTGCTGGACGCTCATTGAAGCACTGGATACAAGCTAGACTCTTGTTTTCCGTACAGTAAAGAATATAGGGTTCAGAGTGCTGCGCACAAGCGACACGACCGCGTACCCGTGCCGACTCCTCGGCAACAACGACACGGTGGGAGGAAAACATTCGAGCCTGGAAAAAATCTCACTGTTGAATAACCTGTATTTTAAAAGGCTACTAAGGACTAGAAAAAATTGCCAGTAACTCTGAAGAACGAAGGGAAAACGCTGGCCAATCGATTTCAGGATGAGCCGTGCGCTTGAAGTCATTTGGTCTCGGAGATGCTTTTCGAAGAGCATTTAGTAACAAAACAAAATTTATGAGGTTCAATTAGTGGCGTCCGAGTGCACCGACTGGCCCTCCTTGCAAAAACGGCAGGGAAAAAGCTCGCTACCCAAGAATTAGGAGTTTAGACTGATTTGGATACAAACGATACTGTCACAAACCTTATGAGTAGTACTCCGGCAGTCATGGCAAAGCGCCTGCTGGCAGGTCTCGCAGTAGTACATCGGCTGCTTGGTCTGAAAACCATCCAAGAACCTTTCTCACTGAAGTCTCGAATTTACTACAAGGACTAACCTGATCACAATTTGCACACACTTCAGCTGCCTCATGTGAGGTGTCGATGAGAAATTCGGCTAGGCGATCTGGAGTGCCTGGGAAGAACGAGCTGGACGAGCTCGTACTTGCTGTCGAACAACATGGTGAGCAATCAGAGCATATTGAGTGCAGACATGGTAGAATACGTGGTGCGGTGAGCTCCTGAACGGATTGCTCACTGAATGGGAAGCTCGACTGATATAAAAAAGAGTTGTATCCTTTCTTTCTTTTTCCGCGAAGTGTGGTGGCCAACCATAAAAAAACAAGGCAAGTTGTTACACTAGCACCTTTTCCAATATCAAAGTAATGTTATGTGTCCATACCAGCTCCGTGAAGAAATAAAGCTCAAAGGCTAATCTGGCGCGGGACAGGAACGAATAAAGATATCACTGGAACTGTTGGGGAGACCTCAGTTGCTAAAAAAAAGATCATCGCGAGCAGAGCGACGAGAATGTCATCTCCCTGCTGCTCCAAGTGCATGTCCGCCATGTGACGCCACTTGCAAGGCTGATCAGGGAACGTCCTGCCGTTGGGGAAATTTTGCATAATACGATCCCCTTCGGGATTTCCGACCATGCTGATTCCCGGCCCGCGTTGCCATATCGCCACCCACCCAATGCCTCAAATTCATAACGACTCTCCAGCTAACTTTCCGAACGGAATTCTGCGCGAATTTTCCCCCGAAAAATCACTCTCGAGCAGGCCGGCACAATTATTCGGTTGCGCGATCCTGATTCGCCAGCATGTACGTACGGCGCCCATCCAACATGCTGGCGCGCGTTGATGCGACCTTCCCTCCTTCAGATGCGATTCGCAGAACCCGGTTGGGACGGGGTTAGAGCGGGTGCGGAGGATTAAAAAGGGAAAATCGATCCCCCTTGCCCCATCTACCTGAATCATTTCTGGATTATTTTCCCCAAACTTTACTGCAGTCCTCCCGCGTTTTCCCGAAGCCTTTTTTAAACATATTCCCAAAAATTTCTCTCTCAGGCGAAATTTTGCCATTGAGATGGGCGTGTCTGGCACCTACGGGGGAAAAACCGAGAAAAAGACAACAACGGGAAAATTTTTCCCCACGCCACAAATTTATCCTAGAAGGTGAATACGATCCCCCCTCTCCCAACCACGAGCAATTACGACTCTCCCCTCCCTTATAGGGTCCGTAAAACAAGGAAAATCAATAAACAAAAAAATGTTCTCAGACAGATACGACCCCCTGTGGGGAAAACCCCAATGATGCATGTGCCCTGCCCTCAGGCGGCTAGGAGAGGAGGATCACTAAGTGAGTGGAACCGGAAAATACAACAAAGGTTCAACAATCGAAAACATTCTCCCCAGCAACCAAACACGAGCCCCCGGGGATCCCAACGTACGACGTGCTCTGGGATGGCTTATCGTCGCAGTAACTCGGGCCTTTTTACCCACACTTTGTACATTGCTGATCCCAACTCTATGAAATATTCAATAGAAAGGCTACCTATCATGTCAGGAACTATCATAAATAGTTCGAATAAACTCCAAAGTCTTCACTTACCTTCGCGCAAACGTAGCAGTCCAGCGGACTACGGTCCATGATACGACGTTTATGAAGGCGGCTCTGGTGAAGGGGTGCAGCGGTGTAAAATTTTTTTCAGATAACTTGGACTGGACCACCTGAAATATTGATGACAGCTGATCAATTTAAGCATTAAACGATAATAATACTTTGTAATCAGTACTACCAATATTACTAGAACAGTATTAACAAGGCAGAGTCATTTTATGCATAGAGCCATTGTCACAAACGGAATTCAAAAGGAGAATTGAAAAGCTGATAGAGATGTAAGCCGAGGCGAAAAGTATCCACTGTTGACTCTGCGGGTTGAGCGGATCGCAGGGTGTGGCTCACATTTGTAATAAATTCTTTCGTTTTTCGAATGTAAGAAGTACTCCATTCGCACAGCTGACGCCGACGAACATGTAAGTTTTCCAAGACGCGATTTCTCCGCCCACGTTTGTATCATTTCAGAGGCGGTGGTTTCCTCAGGGAGCACCTAATTATCTTGTCTTTTTCGCCATCTTTGTTAACTTTCAGAATAGGTACTGACATCTGATTAGTTGTTTGAATCACAGCCAAGATGTTAACAACTTTATGGTAAGCAGGGTGACTGCATGGCATCAGGTGTGATCTACCTGATCTCATGCACCCTCTGTGGGGACGAATACATCGGCGAAACTGGGCGACCACTTTGCTCCAGGGTGAAGGAACATCTGGACGGTATGAAGAAATCGAGGCCTCAGACCCCCTGGGTGGACACAGAATGTACGGACACGGAGGGGCGGAGTTCCAAGTCTCTGTCAGGATCTTGTCGCGAGAGCCTCACACTCAGCCCGCAAAACTTTGGAGGCCTTCTGGATACGCGCCAAAAACCCCAAGTTGAACAGGAAAGATGAATGCCTAGCCATAACGAGTGAGCTCGCCCCTTCGCTGACCTGTGTGGGCTTCAATCGCCATCGGCTTCGGGTCGAAGGGCTGGGTCAGCTGAAGCCACCCACAGGAGTAATATCGGAA